GTAGATAGTGAGATGTCAAGGCGCTTGCAGCTACACCCCCACTGCCATTAGAAGGGTACGCGGCGAAATGATATCCTGACGCGTGGTGTCGAGGTCAGCCCGTGCAAACACGAGGTGCTATCGACGTTCCGAGGAGCTGGGCTGGATTCGGACTTTCCGTTTCCTGTTGATCGTACACAGCAGAAGAATGCGAGTTGCGATATGCACGTTAGCTATCCGATATTCTTTCACCTAGGTGCCATGGGTTTATCTCAATATACTGATTCTGACATAGGGTCTCCTTCTATGAATCTGTACGTAGTGAGTTAAGGATAACGAATGATGTACAAACGAACATACATTAATAGCTGATTTAACAGCAAACTTCTTCTTACTTTCATCTTGAGGCTTAGTACGGAGTAATTGTGTTAAGTGAACGAGGAAACGTGTCTAAAGATAGGACATGGTGACAACTCGTCGCGGTTCTCAGCGGCAAGTTATCACTTCAGTTCCACAGGCTGCTACGCCAAGCACCTCGCAGCGTGGGCGAGGCCGAGGATCTGCACGGGGCCGAGGTCGCGGGAGATCGGCGGCGGCCGTCGCAATAGCAGACCCTGACACAGAGCAGCCAAAGCTTATCGAAAGTGAACCGCAGCAGGAACATGAATCTCAGGATCCCTTAGCAGGTGCGGGTCACAGCTAAGATGTTAGTCAGTGAGCCGGGTGGTATTGATTACGTCCTTCCCACAGGGAAAACGGCATATACTGAACCTGTAATTCAAGACACAGCAACGGATGCATCGCATCAAGACGGAGGTTAGTGCGGCCTTTGCTTCATGATATGATATTAGGGGCGACTGGAGTAAACATGACGGTTGTTGTAAACTCCCCAGCTTCTAACGCAGCTGGATATCCAATAGCGGGCGCGGACGCATCGCTGCCTGTTGAAGACGTTCTCGGCAGTGGCATTGAACACTTGAACTCTACAGAGGAGGGCCGTATGAGCAAGGTCAGCTGGAAAGAGACCGGCGGAATCGAGATCAGCAGGAAAGAGACCGGCGTTGAAGAAGGCGACGATGTGGCGCGAAGCGGTGAAAAGGGCGGCGTTCAGGGTGGAGGTGCTGGAGAGAGCGGCGGTGAAGAGAGCAGCGGTGAAGACAGCAGCGGGGAAGACAGCAGCGGGGAAGAGAGCAGCGGGGAAGACAGCAGGGGGGAAGAGAGCAGCGGGGAAGAGAGCAGCGAAGAAGGCAGCAGAGGGAAAGAGGGCAGGATTACCGATGTCCAGGATGAAGGGCCATGTGTTAGCGACGATGATGACGACGCAATCTTCGGTTCCAACATTATGGGACAGTTGGCATCGTCGCTGAAAGCAGCGCTAAAAGCGCGTGCTGGTCTCCGAGAATTCTCGCCTCCACCCCCGCATTCGGGAAGCACTGACAAGAAACTACTCACCTTAACAAGCGACCCGGCTAGCATTCGATGGAAACCTGAAGTGGAGCAGCCGAAGACGGTCCAGGCGGCTGCGACTACACGGCCAGTGTCGGGTGTCAAAGTAGACAAGGAGAAAGGCCTCCAACATCAGGTAGGCAAGTACTGTCATATTTGATGATACGTCTAGCGCCCCGTGGTAATTGCACAGCCGCATTGCCTTGGCTCGCCTTCGACAGATGGGGCTGCACCTTACTTCAGCGGCTTAGATGGATCTGTGTGGGGCAGTGCTGCGGCGCTGCTGGCTGTGCTCCGGTCTGACAGCCGGTGTCTCTACCCACGGGGGTCCGCCACTTGCTTGCGGTCCCCCACTAAAGCTGAGGCTACACGTCTAGCAATCCTAGAGCAGCAGGGCTGGCAGGCGTGCCTGGGGGGTCGGAATAAAAAGCCGCATTGCCTTGGCTCGCCTTCGACAGATGGGGCTGCGCCTTACTTCAGCGGCTTAGATGGATCTGCGTGGGGCAGTGCTGCGGCGCTGCTGGCTGTGCTCCGGTCTGACAGCCGGTGTCTCTACCCACGGGGGTCCGCCACTTGCTTGCGGTCCCCCACTAAAGCTGAGGCTACACGTCTAGCAATCCTAGAGCAGCAGGGCTGGCAGGTGTGCCTGGGGGGTCGGAATTAAAAGCCGCATTGCCTTGGCTCGCCTTCGACAGATGGGGCTGCGCCTTACTTCAGCGGCTTAGATGGATCTGCGTGGGGCAGTGCTGCGGCGCTGCTGGCTGTGCTCCGGTCTGACAGCCGGTGTCTCTACCCACGGGGGTCCGCCACTTGCTTGCGGTCCCCCACTAAAGCTGAGGCTACACGTCTAGCAATCCTAGAGCAGCAGGGCTGGCAGGCGTGCCTGGGGGGTCGGAATAAAAAGCCGCATTGCCTTGGCTCGCCTTCGACAGATGGGGCTGCGCCTTACTTCAGCGGCTTAGATGGATCTGCGTGGGGCAGTGCTGCGGCGCTGCTGGCTGTGCTCCGGTCTGACAGCCGGTGTCTCTACCCACGGGGGTCCGCCACTTGCTTGCGGTCCCCCACTAAAGCTGAGGCTACACGTCCAGCAATCCTAGGGCAGCAGGGCTGGCAGGCGTGTCTGGGGGGTCGGAATAAAAAGCCGCATTGCCTTGGCTCGCCTTCGACAGATGGGGCTGCGCCTTACTTCAGCGGCTTAGATGGATCTGCGTGGGGCAGTGCTGCGGCGCTGCTGGCTGTGCTCCGGTCTGACAGCCGGTGTCTCTACCCACGGGGGTCCCCCTCTTCTTGCTTGCGGTCCCCCACTTTAAAGGGACAAACATTTGAGCTAAAGTGTTGATTAACATGAGGGTGTCCGCATGTGTACCTCGGCTGCCATAATCAAAATCCCTGTAATTCATACATGCAGGCGGCTGGCAGGGGCTAAGGCCTGACTTCTGCTCCCAGTCGACCCAGTCGACCCGGGTTCAAATCCGCCTGCCGGCTCCTCGGGTGTTTGAGGAGTGATGAAATGGGAGGTGGCCCCCCATCTTATGGACGGTGTAGGACGTGATAATATCAACTTGCGAGCTGACCAGGAACTAAGTTGATGCGCCGCTGATCCGCTAGATTTGGTTGGATGCTGGTGGTGAGTTGCCGAACCCAACGAATACATTCTGAAGTCGGATGGGGTGACGGATTAGGGTGCCCCTCTAGCAGGGGAGAGCAGGGACTGCCCCGGGAAAGGGGGCCGCTGGCGAAGTTAACCACCCTGTAACAACATACATACATGTTGCGTCGTTTCATTCTTGCAGTTGCTGGTACCACCACGTGTGAAATCCACGGAGCACGCCCCATCCTCTGAAACCAAACGATGGTTCGAATTGCCAGCCACCAAGATCACCGATGAGGTTAAGCAGGAACTTCGCTTGCTGCGGCTGTGAGGAGCATATGATCCCAAGCGATTTTACAAGGTACGGGGGGTTTCAGGAGTATGTAATGACAATGTGGTGACTTGGGTTTCACATGACGATGTTGCTATGATGGAAGTTCTTTGCATGCGATTAGGTTCCTGATACACCCGCGAGCCGCTACTCTGGATATGCTGCAGCTAGTGAATTTTCGTCTTCTACTGTTCCGGTTCACCCACCCCTTCTACAGAGCTTTGACGAGACCAAGTTTCCAAAGCACTTTCAAATCGGGACGGTACTGGACAATCCGCAAGACTTCTACAGCAGTCGCTTGACTGCACGCGAGCGCGGTAGCAGCATTACGGAGGAGTTGCTGGCTGATGCAGCAGTAGCGGCGGCCCGAAAGAAGCGGTACAACAAGTTGCAGGAGGAGGCTACCCGCTACCAGAAGGTCAAAAAGCGGAAAACAGACCTTGCACGCACGAATCCCAAGCCTAAGCGGCCGAAGCACTAAAGGATTGGTAATGCCGTTTTCATTGTGACGCTTTCCCGAGATATCCGACGCCCGGAACTAAACGAGCAAATTGTGGCGTGGACCTTTGCAGCACAGGGTGTTCGGCGAAGCAAAAGACGTAGTATATGAATTTATCGTGTTGCAATCGGATGTAAGGCTCGGAAATTTTGTGTGCGTTCATGGTTTGGCTCAGGTTTCATGGCGGGGTGGGTAGGTGGCCCACCCCCCCATGAAGCCTGAGCCAAACCATGAACGCACACAAAAAACTACTCCTCCACGCGGTCCGTAGGCTCTCGTTTGTTGTGCGGGGCCTATCGACTATGCAGAAATGGATGTGCCTCCCAAGGCAGGCTTGGATATCGCAGGTGATGACTCATCGCTCTTGTTTGCTTGCAGCAGAGTCTTAAGTTGCGTTGGATTACTTAGGTTTTGGTCATGTTGCTCCGCTGGGGTATGCATGCTGTAGCGTGCTCAGGGCCAGGAGCTTGCATCATGACACTTGTTTATGTATTTCACGGGAACTTCTCATATGCGGATGTAAACTTGAACCTATAAGCTGTATAGGCGAGCCCCCAAAAAATATTCAGCACCTGTATCACTACTTGTGGGCCCCTGCCATAATGATCGGCCTTGCTGTTCTGAAGTTCTGTCGCTTGTGGCAGATACCGTTATCCCGATTGGTGCTGGGTGCGTGTGGTGCGGCACACCACCAGATGCCAATGGCACGGCTTCACGCTTCCCAACCCATGCCACGCTCCTTCGAAGAAAGGGGGAAGCGGTTGGATTGCGCTGGCTGCCGTAGCAAGCGCCATAAGGCGGGCCCAAGCTGGTCCAAGTACGGCACCGGTATTTCAATCTTAGGTTTTGCTAAGCTAACGTGCTTTATCGCATGAGATATCCAGTACCATCGTGCAAGCCACCACCGTTGCCTTGCAGGAAGCAACATAATATGTCGCTTTCCGTTGAGGAACCGCCTTATCATTACGGACACATACTTCTCGTTTGTGCTTGAAATATATTTTCAGCGAAAACCATGTATTTTACAAGGTGTGTCAGAACTCCTCTTATTGACAGTGGGCAATTGTGAGCGTTTCATCCGTACAGCCGTACATAAAGCTCTTCTCCAAACATGTTTTCGTTATCACAAGAAGTGGTATTGCCCCTGCAGTCCGCTGTGCGTTGTGTAGCCGCTAGTCAGCAGGATATCAAAAATGCTCGCTTCTCGCAATGTTCGCGCCGCTGCGGGTCCTCGGGTTGCCGCTGCACCTGGCCAGCGTGTAATCCTGTCAGGTACGTTATCTGAACTTGAAGTAGAAAGAATAAAAATGTCAACCTAGAAATGTCATACAGCTTTACGCGTTTCGCTGTTTTGCAGCTCGCGCTGGGCGGCGCGCCCTGACCGCGGCGAAGGCTCAGAAGAAGGAAATTATGATGTGGGAGGCCCTTCGCGAAGCCATTGATGAGGAGATGGAGCGCGATCCCACCGTTTGCGTGATGGGTGAGCGTTGCGGTCCGCATTGCGCGCGTTGGTTGTGTTGCGTGGTACATGACCAATGAACGTCTTTACTTGCAACACGTTTTTCCTTACGATTTGGACATGCAAACGACGCCAAGCTACTTCTTGTCTTTGCTGACGCGGAAAAGATCTTATGCCTGCTATGTCATAGGCGAGGACGTGGGTCACTACGGCGGAAGCTACAAGTGCACCTATGGCCTGTACAAAAAATATGGTGATATGCGTGTGCTGGATACGCCTATTTGCGGTAAGTTCACCGAGTTTAACGCCTTGGAACAGGGGTGACCAAACTACAAGGCCATTAGTTTAATTCGGTCCTGCCATTAGTTTATCTCATGTAAGCAATGTAAGCACAATCATCCTCATTTCATTATCTACCTGACCATGCCATACCAATCCTCGGACGCCAGGTGTGCTGGGCTTTGTAACGCTTGCATGGCGACAGGAAACCACTGCCAGCCCGCATCTCCCTTACCTCTGGGGACCTTGCACTGGATGGTTTAATATATAGAAATTTGCTCCCTACACACATCCGGCACCGATACATCCTTAAGAGGTCATGTAAGCATATGCCGGTCCTACACTAATACATCCGTCGTACATGCACATGCTTGAGTGCCCGCCATCACCTTGTCGGTCATGCTCCCCCCTATCATTGCTGAACAATACTAATGCGCATCCTTTTCCGGCAGAGAACGGCTTCATGGGCATGGGCGTGGGCGCCGCAATGACCGGGCTGCGCCCTATTGTGGAGGGCATGAACATGGGCTTCCTGCTGCTCGCCTTCAACCAGATCTCCAACAACTGCGGCATGCTGCACTACACCAGCGGTGGTCAGTTCAAGGTGCCCATGGTCATCCGCGGCCCGGGCGGTGTGGGCCGCCAGCTGGGTGCCGAGCACTCGCAGCGCCTCGAGTCGTACTTCCAGTCCATTCCCGGTGTGCAGCTGGTGGCGTGCTCCACCGTAAGGAACTCCAAGGCGCTGCTGAAGGCGGTAAGTGGGTACGTGAATAACCTAACTGGTCGCTGACTGTCGCAGGGCATGTGGGCAGATTGCTGGCTGAGCTGCTGCCTGAGAGAGGGTCGACTGTAATATTGGGCATAGGAGAGGATAACTAGTAACGTGCACAGAAAGAAAAGCCCTTGAAAACCATGAAAACCTTGAAATAACATCGACCGGCCGTATGTGATCACTTTATCAACGAATACGATATAGGTCTTCCCAATGAAATTTCTCCAGGGTTTGGGTGGTGAATGGAGGGGTGAAGATCGCCATTGACCGGAGGTTTGTGGAGCGAAGGGGAAAATGTTTAATTACTACAGAGTCCCTGTTTATGGATAATGTAATCATGCTGTCCGAGGAGAACGTATTGGAACGAGCTTCAGCAGTTGTGTGGATGAGATCAGGGTAGCTGGGAGTTGGTTGGTGCTTATGCCAATGGCCACCTCGCGTTAACCAGTTTGCAGTGAGTGGCCAGAGATTTTGCCCAGGTTGTTGGCAGGTATGTGGGTGCAGGGCTTTTGGGTGATGAGGGATGACGAGTACTATGATTAGGTGGCTTGCGGACGTTGGGCCAAGGTTGGGCGTGTGGTTGGGTGCATGGGGAGATCGTCCTCGCATCCATCTACAATACGTGTTGAGGTCAGGCGCGTGCGCAACCTTTGGTTAGCTTGGCTGCCGAGTCGATAAAACAGTTTGACGAAGGCCTTGGTTGAAATGCGCAATTGAGAATGTGTCAACTCGTGCAGGAAAAAATTCTGTATTGTAGGGGTTGTTAGGCATTGAGGGCAGGAGGGGGTGTACACGTTTGGAGGAAGAGGAGGCGCAGACTAGGCCGTTCCGCGGGGAAGCCCCTCCGCGGGGCTATTACCGCTGCCGGCTTCAGGGGCAAGCAATGCGCGAAAGGCAGTTCGGCCTGTGATGTGGGCAAGGGAGCTGGACAGAATGGATAACGCACGTCGTCTCAATGCTGACTAAAAATGTATGGCTGGTTGTTGTCGCGTGACGAGCCGTCTGCTGGGTGACCCATGAGGGCTTGCGGCTAGGAATGGCCGGCCGTGTCGTCGAGCTATCTCACCTGGCGAGGTACTCTCCTCCGCAGCCGCCTCGGAGTCGACCTCGGAGTCACCCCCTTTGTGGCTTTTTGAAACCCCCGGGCTGGGTCTGGTCTGGTAATACGATGCCCTGACTACGCGAGCCCCACGGTCGTCTTTCCGGGTCCCAGGTCTCGCCTGTCGATCGCCGCGTATTGGCTTATGGCCTTCCTTCCATCTCCCTTCCTGAGTCGTCTGAGTCCGTAACAATGCCTTTACTCCATGTTTTCGTGCCCTGCAGGCTATTCGCAGCGACAATCCTATTATTTTCTTTGAGCATGTGCTGCTGTACAACGTCAAGGGCGAGGCGGGTGACGCCGACGAGGTGGCCTGTCTGGAGCGCGCTGAGGTGGTCCGTGAGGGCACTGATGTGTCCATTTTCACCTACAGCCGCATGCGTTACGTCGTCATGCAGGCTGTGAACGATCTGGTCAAGAAGGGATACAACCCCGAGGTGGGTGGGAATAGTGGCACTAAGGGTATGAGGGCAAGGTCCTGACTCGTTAACGGTTTTGCTGCCATGCCGCGCTTTGTATGAGGTGCCTGCAGTAAACCTGGTGTCTGTTTTGATTGCCTTGCGTTTCTTGCTGATATGGCTGATTCAAGCCGCTCCCGGCCTGCCGGTCGCCGCCCGCGCGCCCCCCAGGTCATTGATCTGATTAGCCTCAAGCCCTTCGACATGGAGACCATCGCCAAGTCTGTCAAGAAGACCCGGAAAGCGATCATCGTTGAGGAGTGCATGAAGACCGGTGTGTTGTGTTATTGGAGGAGGGCTGGAGTCCAGGGGACAAGGCAGCGAAGCCTCTTGTGTTCATATCCGGGGGAATTGCAGGGCGGATGGCGGATGGCGGTGGAGCCTGGTGAAGCAAGATTAGAGATGAGCCCGCTTTACGAGCAACGTCGGACTCTCTTACACCTGTTGTTTCCCCATCTGCTCTAAGTTTTGCGTGGCCCTTGCCTTGAGCTGCTGCGTCGCTGCATCATCGTCCCAGCATTGGGAAGGGCTACTCAACCACACTATTCACCTACATTACACCCTTCCTCGCCTCTGACCACGCTGACGCGGTGTTCCTGACGCCCATTCGTCTGCAACCCCCTGCAGGCGGTATTGGTGCGTCGCTGTCCGCCGTGATCAACGAGTCCCTCTTCAACGAGCTGGACCACGAGGTGATCCGCCTATCCAGCCAGGACGTGCCCACTGCGTACGCCTACGAGCTGGAGGCCGCCACTATTGTGCAGAGCAGCCAGGTGGTGGAGGCGGTGGAGAGGGTTTGCGGCGGCCGGGTGCCGGTGGCGGTGTAAGGACTGAGGTGACGGCATCTGGGCTTGGCTTTGGCTGCTGGAGTCCCTTCATTGCGCGGTTGGTTGGCCGACACGAGTGGCTGGCCCGGCGGTACCTGTGTCAATAAGGGCTCTGATTGCCTTGACTCTTGGGCCAGGTCATGGAGGGTGCATGCTGCCCTCTGCCTTGATGGCGGGCCAGATATTTCGCGTCGCGTCACGCTATGGGGCGTGGACGGGGCGAGTGATTTACTTTGCGCGAGGCTGCCAGCTGGCCGGAGGACGGCCGGTGTGTTGGGTGAAGAGTCATATCGGGTTGAGGTGCAGCAGTATGCATCATGGCGGGTTCGTACACGTGGCGCCATGTGGTCCCTCATAGCTGCGCGCTTGGAAAGCCGTTGAGCTGGATGGGCCTCTGCGGCATATCATCTAGCGCCTTCGCTGTGTCAGTTGTACGGCGATTTTGTAGCTGGTATCGCGGCGCAAAGAATGGACGTTTCCGAAGAACCTCGTTAGTGCTTGCCATTATTGTGGATAAGTTCGGGGTGATGAGTCGGGGTATTGGGTATATGGGTAGACTTTGCTTGGTACAGAAATTTATATGGGGGGTCAGAAATCTGAAGAATTTGTTTGTGGCAGCGAAGATTGAACTGCCGAAGGGTAACTGTGTTGACCTGTTGGGGATTGTGTCTCGGCTTTTCATGCCTTTTGAGCAGAAAGGCTCCGTTACTCGGATTGCGTCGCCTTGGGAACGTGCGAATAGGGATATGGCCAATTTTCAACCTAAGGCTGTAGTCCCAACCGCGTTGGCAGCAGGCAAGCAAGCCGCGTAAACCACGTGAACTTTTGTGTTGAAAGCATATGAAGAGGATACGTGTGACAGATGAATGATGACACTATTGTAAACAGTGTTGTTTGTGTAAATGCCGAACCTTCATTAAGATGTACTTATAAGTGCAATTTTACACGGATATTGCGTCGACTAAAAATCCGGAGACCCCTTCAGCTATTACTGAGCCACCTGATCCATGTGCAAGTCTACTTACATACCACCTTAACTTCCTTGACACATAGTTGCAGGTCACAGACCCTTTGTGACCTTCCACGTACGCTCCAACACGCCGCAACACATTACCAATGCCGTGTTATCAGGAAATACTTGTACCCACATCCTAACGCCGGATTGATCCATACTATGGCAGGTAACCCCTCGACGTAACCCCTCGAGAAGGATACAGCCTAAGCCCCACCGCCGGCAGTTGCAGTCAGCGCCAACACGTTGAACGTAAGGCTACTGCTCCTGCGGGTAACAGCACATCACCCGATGTAAACAAGGTTCGCTAAGAGGGACGGGTGGACATAGAGTTGCAGCCAGGGACGCAAAACATGCAGCACAGCACTGGTGGTTGCAGTGGCGGCGCCATGGCCATGGTGCAGGTCCGGGAAACCTATCACTCTGCGTGCGTCACCGGCACCGGCACACACCCATCCTCTTGTCCCCAACTCAAAGAAAGGCTGGTCTGTCCCTGATGCAGAGAACCCAAAGGCCGCGGACGCGCAACGGAACTCCGTAACAACATCTAAGGAGACATTGTCGCGGCAACCGCCACCTCAAAGAGCCCGCATACTTCTCTGCGCACTGCGGCATACGTCTTCTGCAGGGCGGAACATCAAGGGTGCGCCTCCGCCTGCAAAGATCTTCTAGATACCGCAGCGCCTGTTTCCCCACACTCTTTAACGGCGTGACATCTCCTGTCCACCTGCACACGCCCACCTGCTAATGAAGTCCTGCACCACTCGGGCCGCGTCCTGTAGCAGCGTCTCCGAACTGCTGGGCCCCCGGCACACCGGTCCTGCCCTGCGGCCGTCCAGCTCCCACAGCTGGCCTGCAGAGTCACCCAGACGGTCCCGGATCGTCGGCAAGAGTTGTCATCGCCAAGGGCGACACACCACAGAGGTTTACATCCATTATCACGATGGCGGCTCAACGGGTGTGTGGCACATTGATTGTGGTGTGCGGTAAGGTGGTGTGTGCTTGGGGTCTGTGTGATGGTAGGAAAGGGACGCATTGTGCCTCATAATTCAAGGATGTGGAAGTGGAACAACCTTGCCGTTGTGCCGGGCCCAGGGCCCCTCGCTTCTTTAAGATGTTGTTCTTAGCAGATGCAGGATTTCCGGTGTAAACCCCCCATCCAGCATCTGCCACTGCGGTGACTAGGCACCGTTACCCGCACGGGAAGACGGAACGCGGGCGAGCAGCGCGCTGACAAGCGGCCGGCAAGAGACCCAACGGGGGTGAACAGGTGGAGCCAGCAGGCCCTAGGCCCTAGGCACGTACGCCAATTGCACCGTCGCCACGTACCGTCCTTGTGCACGAAGGCGACGAAGTGCAGGTCCACATCTTCGTCGGCGGATGGTGGTGCGGTGTCGCCCGCTGCAGCAGCAGCCTTGATATGTGGGAAGGAAAGAGATCAACGAGACAGGGAAGGGGGAGGCAGCAGTTGCATCGTAGACGGGCTGGGTTCCTAAGCTGGGCGCGAGACGCGGCTGGGTCTTACTGTCCGCACATTGACTCCTCCGAAGAACCACCGCCGCAGAGATGGACAATGACCCACTGAAAGCTATCCACAATTTTTGCATCGAGCAAGCTGGTAATGGCATGATGCCCCGCAAGCCCCCTGTGGCTCACGTCAAAAACCTGCCCACTTGCTTTTTGTACACAATTTGCCCAGCAAGCCTTCTTTCACCTCTAAAAGATGCGCCGTCGACCCTACCTGGTGTGCCTCCTCAATGCTGGGTGCGCCTGAAGGGGGTTCCTCCAAGTACTTGCCAGCTTCCGCCGCGGACATTCCGGACGTTGCGGAAAAGAACTGCTGAAGGAAGCTGCCATCCGCTGCGGGAGGAATGGCACGCATGGTTTTCATCATATTGTGATACGCTCACTTAATGCCCAATTCCTCATTCGTGCCAAGCGGGGATCAGGAGGCGGCGCAGCTTGCGAATAGGGTGGACTGGCCCATGGTTCCGTTAAGAGAGTGCACTTCGAGTTGGACCATTTCGGCAACTCTTCAACGCCGGCGAGAAGTCCCTGAACGACTTACCGGGGTCCATAGTGCTCAAGTTGTTGCCAATAGAATGCAGAACCGCAATTGTGCCGCACGCGTTGCCGATAGTCTGCTTCATGTAGAAGAGCTTTGCGTCGACCGGCATCCCTTTAGCCGCCTGCTCTTCATCCTCTGCAGCGGTGAACTGGAAACATGTTTCCTCGAAAGGAAAACCCTTGTCTGCGAATGTGGCTACGAGAACCCGCGCACCTTTTTTAGCCAAAGCATCACTTTCAGAAGTTACGGGATAGCACAATATTACAGCGATAACTGGCTTCGGTACCATTTCCAGAAGTTCCTGCAACATCCCCGCGGAGATCTCCTCGTGCGTGCACTGACGCAACAATACTTCAGTTCACAAATGGCGCACCTCATCCAGTCCAAAGACATCTGAGAAAGAGTGTTCAGATACATCAAGGCCAAGCTTGGAAACGAATTCGTTCAGGACATCTGGATTGCTCTCGAGCGGCACCCATTTCTTGGCATTGGACATGGCAGCCACGCTCGATATCCTTGTTTCAGAGTTATCAAGATGCTTAACGACGCTCAACTAAGACACCAGTGCCTAGTTGCGAACTGACGCAAGTTTTCAACTGTCATGCCGTACCGTCCTTGGTTGCTTGAGCAGTTGAGCTACTCCCATCCTCCCTTCGTCAGCGACACAAACCACCCATACCCACAATTTGCCAAATCATTCCTGCATAACAACAAGCCAATGCACCTTTAAAGCATTTGGCTTCAGCAAAATTGTCCTACAAACAGACAACCGCTGCACAACGGAACTACAGAAAGAGCCATCCAGCATATCCACAGCTTGAAACTCGTGTGTTCAAGCTCCTCAAGCTCCTGCGCCTCACGCCGCTCAATAGGTCCCCCGTAGCTGGTGCCATTTAACCGCTAGGACATACATCAAAGGCGCGCTACCCGTGCCGCTGCCTCCGTGTTCCCGAATGAGTTTCGTCTCATATGGGTTGAAGTTCACAGCCTCCAGCCCCTCCAAGTATCGCCCCACTGCCACCGCCGGCAGCATCACCCCAGCAGCGCCTGGCGGCAGCCGCGGCGCCAGTCGTCGCGCCTCGTCCAGATGCCCCTTGGCCAAGCTGGCGACTTTGTGTACGACATCACGCAGTCCCTCCGAAACCACGCCGCTGTACACATCCTCCTGCGAAACGCGCGCCTCCGCGCACAAGTCAACGGGCAGGTAGCAGCGCCGTGCCGCGGCGTGGGCGGCTGTGCCGCGCAAGAGCGTGGTGATACCCGCTGCGCGACCTAGGTGCGATGCTGCATGATCCGCGTCCTGGTGCTTCACACCGGCAGCCGCCAGCTGCGAAGGGGTAGCGGAACACAACCTGGCATTAGGATGACGCTTCTCGAGGGCACTGGTGATTGCCAAACACCGCTCCGGCGAACACGGCGCATGCTAGCATGCATGTGCAAAGGCGCCAGCGGGAATGGGCTCAGGAACGAGAGCCCCTTCCTCAGTGCGCGTCAGTGCGCGTTGGTTGGCTATGGACAATGTGCACAACAGAACGCTAAAGACGCCGCTCTGCTCTACCCGTCTATCCCAAACGCACCGGCAACCTACAGCTACAGCATGGACTCCAACGCGCTCTGCCCCAGAGAACTTACCTCGTCGCCCCCACAACCCCCACTGCCAAGCCCGCGTGCACCACCTGCACTGGGAGCCCACCTGCAAGTACATGAGCTGAGACGACGTTCCCTCCGCGTACTGCTCGAGCGCCTGAAGGTCCAGCGGCGGCTGTGGGTCCAAGAAATCCGCCTCACGGCAGTCAATGATGCGCTTAAAGCAGTAACGGCTGAAGCGTGACGGGCTGTTTCCAGCAGCGCCTCCAAACTCAGAGGGGCTAGCTAATTTGCTACTGCAGCCGCTGCCACAACGCGTGTGGTCGCGCTCGTCGTCATCGCCGTCTGCCTTTGTTGCCCTCGCGGCTGCTGCAGAGGAGGCTGCGGCAGTCACGGCGCCGGGGGCTGGGCTGTGCAGCACATGCGCCAAGGCCACCGCCACCGGATGGTTCGGCGGCCGGTTTTCGAAGGCGGCTTTGACCGCGTCTCGCCACCACTGGAAGCGGATCTGGCCCACCACCGACTCCTTGCTGCGGACGCTGTCCGCCACCAGAGCCGTCTCGATGTTGAAGGCGCGCAACGCGAACAGCGAAGGCCGCAGATCCTGGGCCGCGGAGGCGCCGGGCGGGGGATACGGTGGATGCAAGGAAAACAGCAGGCAAAGGGGCGGGCGGGGCCCCATGAGGAGCCCGGGGGCTGCAACCGGGGCTGCAACCGGTTCACCTGCTCCCGGACGGAGGTGTAAGCAGTGGGCAGTGGAGCGGTAGCATGACGTGGTGAGGTGCAGTACCGCGTGTGTTTTGCACAACCGATTGCTACGCCAGTGGCACACTCAGGCCGAACCACCTAGCATCACCACCGTGCGAGTGTCCCGCATACATTTCGTCCCACCTTTGGCATCTGCGCCACCCAGACGTAGTTCAGGTAGTCATACTGCCTGCAGCGCGTGTTGCCAGGTGGATCCAGGGCTCTCAGTGGGCGATTGACACCGCAATACGACAGGTTCCCGAAATGATTGCAGACTGTGGCACGCTCGCGAGTGATGCAGCACGACGCCCATGTTTGAGTTGAAGAGATGGGCCCGCTGGGGTTTTATCCATGTCTCCTGGCCTGATGTTTCTGCCGAAACGTCGGCTACGGATTCCCAAAGACATCGTGCCTGTGCGTGCATGCCAGTACTTGAAATGGTTCCGCGTCTGTTATACATTGAACATGCGGAGGGACAAAAAAGCACAAATGAATTGGTGCTCGGGTCATTTGCGCCCGTTGCGCAATCTGCCGAGCGTACCGCAGTACCGCCTCCTACATGTTGGTGCAGCGCCGCTCATACCGTGAGGACAGACCTTTCATGGGGCCTATGCCACTCCTTTAAAAGACCCGCCCTCACGGCACAGGCGGCACACAAGTTTGCAATGGTTCAAAGTTATGCCAATGCTACGACGACATGGACACGCGTGGGAGGACAGAGCTGTTCAGTAGTTGGACGAGGGGCCCCAAATGTAAGCGTGAGGGAACAGCCCCATGACACGCGTGTCCCATAAGACAACAAATGCACATGACATATCCAGCACCCACCTGACCTGTTGCACACAGAAGCCGAAAGCAGACCTCAAGTCCTCAGGTAAGGATGCATATGAGCGAGCAATGGCGTTGCTCGCCCGCTGCTGTCCAAAGTGACCCCACAGAACGCGTGCCTTCGGCAGCCCGCTGGAGAGCCCATGTATCATGATTGGTTTGCAATTTTATGACGGCGAACTTTGACGAAAAATTCTACAGACGACGTCAGGTTCCTTCCCAGGTCCTGTTACAAGCTATCCTACCCATGCATTACAATCTGGGCGCGCTACACTGCAAGAGAACCGCAGATGGACCCTAACTTAAGAAAAGAAGGAAGTGCTAAGACTGTAACGCTGCCCAGCTGCGACATTCCTTGACGCCCATTCTTACCAGAAGGATGTCCACTTCCGTGCCACTAGGCGCGAGACACCGTTGCAAGTACGGCAGGGCCGTACGCTGTTGCGGTGCGGTCACTCCAACTCCTGGGTACTCCTCGAAGGGTGCAATATGTTGGTCATATTTTCCGTAGGATCAAACCTCTGACATCGCAACTGCTGGGTGCATTAGCTAACACTTGCTGTGAAGTGCTAAGATCAGAATGTCAGAGGACGCTGTTCTTGAGCAGCGGGAGCGCAAGCCGCGTAGGACTACTGCTCCTGACTCCAATGGCCATGCGTCAGATGTTCCGGACTTCGCAGCAGCTGAGGATTTTGCTGCCGATGTACCCGCCGTGAACTCGATTGATGTGCCAGAGGCTGAGGACGCAGAGGAGCAAGTGGCCAGTACCTCCACGAACAAGATCTACTTCGTGCGCGTACCTCGGCCGCCCATTAACGATGAGGCGCTGAAGAACCTATCGGCCCAATTCAATGAGCACGTTAACAAAGTAAAGGGTGCAAACGCAAAGCTGGCCGCGAAGCGGGTGAGTAATCCTGATATGATGCTACGTGAGATTACTGCAGATCGTGGTGTGTGTAAAGGATTGTTGGGTCAGTGCATAACTGATCTTGGAGTACATGCGGGCCCACAAACAGGAGGAGTTGCGCGAACTGCGCCGCCAGCTGAACGTCGGTCGGTCTCTGAAGGAGGGGTCTCAACCGGAGTTTGAGGAGAAGCTCAATCGGCTGCAGTCCTTGCGCAGTGTTCGGAACACATACCAGCAGAAAATGTCATCCATCAGGGAGACCCTTCGGGGCCTGTCGTGCAAGTCGGAGGAGGAGCTGGATGCCAAGTTGAAGGCTCTGGAGGAGGAAATCTCGCTTGGTGGTCTGACCCTCAGGGAGGAGAAGCAGAAGGTTCATGAAATCACAAAGCTGAAGTCGCAGCGCGCTCAGGTGGGCACACTTCGTTATGGCGATTTGTCCAATAGGACATGGGGGGCTATGGGGGCCCTACAGGTGTCTTTTGCTGATGGGGTGGAAGTCTGACTGCCAGAGGGTGCAATTGCAATGCAGCAATGTCTGACAAGGTATTCGTCCACGCACCCCGAGGCGCCGTCCCTATCCGCAAATAGCGCTTTTCCTCATATCCCGAATCCCTACTGGTGTATGGGTGTGCGGTAGTTCAGAGGCGTGCAGGAAGGGAGGACAGGAAAGAAGAGCTTGCCCGTTTTTTTTCCGACGGCGTGCTGCGTAACTCTGATGCACATGCGCTGCATGTCGACGTTCGGGACATAAAGCGTTATGCGGCTGTCATGGAAAGTACGAGTACGATGTGCATCTTCGCGGTGTCACCAATCGACGCTGGCATGCTACTGGCCTGCGTACCCAAGATCCCTGCCTACTGGCCGATCTTCCCTCTTCCCCATGCGGGTTCCCTGTTTCCCTAGATCCGCGACTATGACAACCAGAAGACCACGATGGCGGAGTATGAGGCCGAAAACGACAAGGTCAAGGAGGTGATCAAAGAGCTGGAGAGCGAGTTCACCATCCTTAAGACGGAGCGTGACCAAGCGCAAGGCATTATTAAGGAGATCTTAACAAAGGTCAAGGCTTGCGAAGCCGAGGTTGAAAATCTGGAGGAGGAGCAGAAGGAAGTCGTGAATGCGAAGAATGATGCGCTTGCAGCACTAGACAAGGCCCGGGCTGGAGTGAACGAGTCAATGTCAGAATACCGCGAGAACCGCTCGTTCAGCCTGAAGGTCCGTGACCTTGTGACAGCTGGCCAGGTGGACGAGGCACGTGCCCTGTGTGCCGCCCAGGTCGACACGGCGATCACGAAGATCGCCACGGATTCCGGGTACCGCAAGGAGTATTACAGCCTCTGGGCCCAGCAGCGAAAGTATGCGGTGTCGGACCTTCTCCCCGATAGCACCACGGTGGTTAAGGAGGTAAAAGCCGTAGACGTGGGCAAGGCGGGCGCCAAGGGCAAGGGCGAGGCCAAGAATACCAAGGCGCCGCCCCCCAAGCCTCAGGGCGCCGAGAAGGCGCGGCAGTTGATTGAACAACTAATGGCGGAAGCACAGCAGGAGGCCAGCCGCAAGGTCCCAGGTCGATCGGTGGCAGACGTCACTGAGCCATCGTCTGGGGACGCCGACGACGAGCTTGACCAGCCAAGTGCTGTCCCGGCAGTGCAGGCAGTGGAGGCAGTAAAGCCGAAGGCGACAGCAACCAGTGCCCGCCCGGCTGATTTACTGAAAATGGTGGAGCTGCCAAAGATTATCGATGAGGAGTTCGTACCGCCCGTCATTAAAACTGAGGAGGAGAGGGCGGCGGCGAAGGCAGCCCAGGATAAGGAGCGACAGCGCGAGGAGCAGATTCGCAAGGCACAGGAGGCAGAGGCCCGCAAGAAGAAGCTGGCAGAGGCGAAGGAGAAGAAGCGGAAGGAAGCAGAGGCTAAGCGGAAGGTTGAAGAGGAGACGCGCAAGGCGGAGGCAGCAGCGCAGGAGGCGGAGCGAGCGAAGCAGCTTGCAGCGGTACGTGCAGAGGCGGAGGCGAAGCGGAAGGCCGCGGAGGCGGCGGCAAAGGCCGCGGCGGAGGCGAAGGCTAGCTACAACCCGGCTGCGAAGGTAATTGCCAAGTCGCAAGTCACCGTGGCTGCAAAAGCCAAGCCGCCCAGCAGCGACCCTCTACGCTACTGGAAAGCTTTGAAGAAGAACTCCAACTTGCAGCTCGCAATTCTAGGCGCCTTCTTGACGATTATAATGCTGGTGCTCGTGGTTATGGCCATGCGCAGTTGAGGGGAACGGCTTGTGCAGTACGGCGCTCATGGGCATGGTTTTAGGCTATGATTCCGTATTCGGTTATACCTTTCATCTGAAGAGCGGTCGTCAGTTGCGTTATAGGACTTGTGGGCAGGATGACTGGTATCGCGAGTGTTTCTGCGGCTCGCAGCATTGGCGCGCATAGATACCTATTCCTTTCGCAAGAGGGGCCAAGGTCTGCAACGGCGCTGGCAGTTGCGGATTCCGTTGCACAGGTACTCGCACCTGTGAATGCCAAACATTCTGAAGGCATGCATTCCTGTCGAACGATGCAATGGAACATAGTGCAGGCTTAACCGAGAACGTGCGTGACATTCAGCCGGTGTTATGCCATGGGCGAATCTACAACTTCCCGATTATTTGTTAGTGTACTGAGTGTGTAGAGACTTCTGCTCTGCGCTTCTGCCCGAAACGTTTTAGTCCGAGACTAGCGTGGATGAGTGGGTGACTTGACAAGTATTTTGAGTTGGAAAACGAACTTAAAGACATCGGTAGAGTACTGTTTCATGACAGTAATATCGACTCGTGTGTCATGTCCATATGATGTGGATAATCATATTGAAGACAATTTTCTTCCACTTGCTTTAAAGATAATAAATCCTGCGCGCACACATTTCCACCTGCATGAGGTGTATTCCTATTCTATCTATTTCCACATTCCATATACCTAGCCGTCATTTTCTTTATTCCCTACCTCAGCAACACACCGATAAACCTCCGCAATCACTTACAATCAATACACCCCGAAACACACAGCGCCATGAAATTGAACGTCCCGCCGACACAAAAGCGTTGGCAAAAGCCCAATGCTTTCATAATCCCGTCTTTGTCCACGACATTGTTCGCTGTAGACGCTGCGTAGAACCCAGAACTCCCAAAAAACTTGTGATTGCCGATACCCTAACTCCAGATAGCCCCAAATAGCTCAGAAAAATTTCGCTGCAAAGGGCAAATGCAAAGGGCATAAAGGAGTTTTACTTGCATGCATTGTAAGGCGTATTAAGACCCTGAGCAGGAAAGGGCCGTACTCGCAGGGCCGTACTCGCATCCCACTCGATGGGGCAGAGACTAGTTCTCACTATGAACCATTACCCTCTGACACTCACTCGTGAAGTAGTCCAGATCCATGTGGTGGAGACGTACGTACCCATCCTCACCACCGGTTGTGAAGCTGCGTGGGGAAAAGGGAAACGTGCACAAGCGGTGGGCAAGATGACCATTACCTAGAAGCTGCAACAATCTAACAATACCCAATTTGCTGTTATGCGCTGCGACTTTGTCAAGAGCCTGTCCGGCATATTCTATACGAGCACGGTGTCGTTTCCGCTAATTGAATGCAACCCGGAAGACATGGGGGTGCTGCTGATGAGGAACAGCAATCCCTCTCACCTCCGGCCAGACGGATGGAATGCTACGGTGTTTACAGGACCAAAATGCCCCCTGACGCGACCAAATTCCTCTTGGAACACCTGCCAAACATGGAGGAAACCAGGTGCGTTCAAGTCATGGGCAGTGGACCACCGAATAATGGAAAAGCGTCCACAAAACAATGTTCAAGAAAAGCATGACCTTCACATTCTCATTTCAAACTCAATAATAAACCTGTCCACAGTGCAGCCTCGTCACCCAACGCTTCATACATCATGCACCGCGTTCAAGTTCGACTCGCTCTAAGCGGGGGATACGGAAAGCCCCAATCCGGGGTGCGAACACAGTCACATGCAGAAACCAAAGCAGGATTGCGGCCGCTAATTGCTGCGAATGCCAACAAAGGCCAAGCATTGTTTGTTTCCACCTTCAGCCGTTTCTTTCCATCCATATAAACCGGGCCCGATTAGCATACCATTCGAACAGGAATTCGTTGTCTTCAACTGTACCCGTGGCACATGTGGAGGAGGCACCATGGGCACAATCCAGCCCGCCAATGGACGGTGCTTCCGCTGGCTTGCCTTTACCAAAAAGTAAGAAACCCTGCCTAGGACCAGACGGTACCAGCTAACCCCACCAGCCCAGCCCCGCGCACCTTATGGAAGAACCTGGCCTCGAAGCCACCCGCCCCCGCGGCCGTCGTCGTCACCTGCGATGCGTCCTGCCCACCACCCATAAGGACCTGCAGACCAACCGGCCCAAGCAGGGAAATATCTCATTCCTGCTCCACTGGCTGGACCCGGGTCGCGCAGAAAGATTTGGGCCCCAGGTAAGAACGGTGACTGCAGTGGCGTCATAGACACGATGCCATTTAATTTGAGGTCAAGGCAACATACACGTGTGCAACCACGGTCCTACCTTTCGGCAGAGGATTCAAGACAGGTTCATACCCTGAGGCAAGAGCGTACAGCACTGTCTAAGCCCAACCCAACCTGTGCCTCGAATCCTAGCATGGAAAAGCTGGCATACAGCCGTGTGCGCAAGGTAATAAGCTTCTCGACCATATCCAAGCACTTCAAGCGCAAGCCAAAAGCAATTACCCACCTCCCTTTGGTTACGTTTGTTGGTGTCTATGGCCAGCCAACCTGCCTTCCTAATCCACGCGCAACTCCGCTAGGCCCAAGTCCGTATATATCTACTGCGAAACGTCTCCCAGCTTGTGGCAACTCACATGGTCGAAAAGCGGAGAAATAGCAGCTGATTGCACAAACCGACCCGTCTTGTAAACTTTTAAGACAGTGAAAGTCTCAATGTCAATCAACCGAGCCGTCTTATCCAGCGACGCAGTGATCACATGCGTCTCATCTGGCGACATCTGCATGTCCTGGATTGCGTCCTCGTGCACCTGAACCTCCTGCAACATCTGGCCGGTCTGTGCAAGGGAGGGATCACAGCAGTAAAGGAGGCAAGGGCGGTCTTTCGTCATCTTATGCGTCGCCTAATGCGTCCAAAACGAGAAACAGTACCCCTCCAACACTGAGGGGTATAAAAATTACTGACTTTTTTAGGTGCACCCCTCCAACACGGATACGAATCCTAAATAATACAGCAGAAGTTTTTGGAAACCCTTTTTTTTGTTCACCTAAAGGGGACAGACAACCTGAGGGGTTTCTTATACTAGATCCGCCGAGTGTTTCCAAAAGCATCACCGAACCGTGAAAAGCTGTACCTTTGCAAAGGCAGGGCTGCTACACCTGCAATATGTAGATAAATTGCAGTTCGCTCTTCAGGCCACCTGAGGTGGTAGATTGTTGCAATCGTTCGAAACCCGGCTTTACGGGCTTTGTGGCCCAGATGCCCCCGTTAGGCAAGCGCAACCCAATTTGCTCAATTCCCAATCCCCTTCTCCCTTAACCTCAATCTCTAGGAAGGTAGCCCTTCCCCCCGCTTGCCTCGACATCCCATCGGCGTAGAATGCCGTAGTCGTGCGAGGTGATAACCTTCCGGTTGCAGTCCGTCCAGAAGATGCGGGTAATGCGGCCCTTCGGCACCGTCCACGCATTGACTGGGGTCGACCTCTGGTCCTCCACATTCTCCGCAAAGTTATAGATGTGAATGCCGGGTGGCGATTCGATGAACGCGTCGGTAGTTGCCGCGAGGAACCGCTCCCCCGCAGACAGCTTCACCGCTCGGCAGGGCTCCCCGTGCCGAATCTGGAACAGTTCTTTCCCCGTCGGCAGGTCCCAGATGCGAATAGTTTGGTCCCCTGAACCCGTAATTAGGCGGTCCGACTCCCCTGCGCGCCAGGACCGCCCAAGTTCAGTCGCCGAAAGGCGCTGCTTACACAGTTTTCCCTTTGTTAAATATACCCACATGTAATGTCACAGGTCCAGATTGCGCCATTATGACCCTCGTAAGTTCCGATGCGGCGGCCGTCCTCCGAAGACCAGAGGCAGGGTTGATGGTCCTGCAAGGCAGCCCCGAGCTCTTTGTCAGGAAATAGTGAACCATCAACCTGTGTTCCAAGCAAGCTCTGCTGACCTTGGCGCAGCTAACCAGCAGATCGCCCTCGCGGTTGTACCTACGCAGCCGCCACGATAACAGAAGAGCGCTGTGTCAAAAGACGCGTACGCAGTTTGAGAGGCCATAAAGCGAATAATTAAGACTCACTTGACTTGCGTCAGGGGGCGCTCGTGGCCCTTGAGTAGGTATGGGCGCATTTTTCAGGGGATAAGGTTTGAGGTCTCGCAAGGCTTTTAAGAAACCTCTACCTAACACAAACTCTAAAGTGTGTAAGGTGTAAAAGGATTGAAAACCGTGCCACGATCAAGTTTTGGTACCTATGCTTCTATGAACGGCAATCCGCGTAATTTGCGTGCAAGGCCCTTTACGTTCGTAACTAACAGTCCAGCCAAATGATAAGATATATATGCATTGCTGAGGAAAGCGACCAGAACAGGACCAGCTTGCCCATTTAAATGAACCGGGTTTATGTCATGTAGAGTGCAAGTGCTTCTTTAAACCTTTTAATCACGAAGTACGATTAGTTAAAAGACTATAATTTCCTCAAAAGGAATTCCTGGACCCATGGTTCTCAATGCAGCTGGTCCGGACAAGTGAAATCTGCTTTACATGTTATTCAGCATCGCTCAGGCACCTCAAGGCATGGTGCTTGAAGGCACATTTCCAAAGAGCAACGGGGCCCTCCTGCCTTGCGCTAAAGCTTGTCTCGACGGTCAGCTTCCTCCTCATCCGGACGCCACGCCCACTGCAGCGCACGAGTAAGCTCGGCTTATGCTTTAGCAGTTTTTCCTGCCCAAGCAGCCGTGAGGCTGGCGGCCCGTGCCCCCGCCCATCGCTGCGACACAACCGTCTCGAGCTGCTGCTGCTGCTGCTGCTGGGCGCTGGCGCCAACCAACAATGCCTCGGGCTCCTCCACATGCATCTGCGACAATATAGTAGGAACGAAAACGAGGCCTGGTTAGTGGCGGAAAGCCTTCCATGCCAAACTGTACCGATGCCTATTTCCTGCCATATGGAACTGTGCCGTACGGCATGTACGGCATTTCCTGTCCAGCAACACTAAGCTCTGGCACAAGACTCCGGCAAAGAGGCTGTGGCACAAAACCAATCCCGACCCACGCTCACTCAGCAAACACCTCCTCCCCAGCAGTCATGTCCTAAAGCCTCGGTCAACACGATCAGAGCCGTGACGGTGCACTGGCAGTGACGGCGCCCCAACCCCGGGGCCCCGCAGGCCCTGCGCCACGCAACTCCTCCCCCACTCTGCCCCTAGCCCAGCGCATCCTGATCCCCCACACCCCCTTCTCGCAGTTTCCCTTCCGCAACAGCTACGGCCCGACGCCTCTGGTGTCTGTCGTACCTCCATTTGTGCAAATTCGAGGGTCACCAGCGGCCGGCCGCCCAGCAGCGCCCCCAGGTGCTCGCGGCTGTCCTCCTCCCCGCGACCCGCGGCCGGCACCTCCACCGCCAGCGGCGCCAGCAGCCCCACATTGGTTTGCAAGTCACAAGCGTACCGCAGCAGCCCCGGCACCTCGGGTGTGGCCCCGCTGGTAGCAGGAAAGGCGGCGGTGGCGGCGGCACCATGGAGCCGGAGGGCGGTTGGTTTTGTTAGTATACGCAGCTCGCAACGATGTAAGCAGGTAAGCAGGGAGAGAGTGAGGGTGCAGGCGCACATGCACACGTGCGTATCAACCCCTCGGAGCTCAGGGGGGAGTACACTGCGACACCCTGCACCTCAATCCCCAGTCCGTACCCTCTCCTTTTGCCCCCTGCGGGGTTCTTATGTCTTAAGGGTCACGAAGCCCGACCAGGCCGGACCGGTGAGGCGCCAGGAATATCAGAAATCGGGGGACCGCAGCGTGCAGTGAGAATGGGAGGGTTTTCACTGAAAAGGGTTTGGGCAGTATTGAATTTCACGTACGGCAGGCGAGGAGCGGGAGGCCGAAGGGGGGAGGTGCCGAATGGTGATGGGCCCACCTCACCTGAAGCTGGGCAAGGACAAGGTGATGCGGGGTCCCCAGGCCCGGTTGGTGTCCGGCATGGTGATTCGGCACACGGCCGATGACAGGCCCCGGCCCCGACCGCAGTCCACGTTACTCAGCACCAAGGTGTCTCTTGACTGCGGCTGTGAAGAGCCCCCCTGCTGCTCTTGTTGCTGCTGGTGCTGGTGCTGTCTCCCGCAGCACCCTGGGGCATCAGCGTTGTGAATGGCCGCGGGAATGGCATATCACGTCAAAGCAGCGGTGCCAGGGTGCACGGGGTGGGTGCGCGGCGTGAGTGAATGTCTAGTCTGTATATGTATATGCCTGTATGTATATGTGGTTGTGTCTGCTGCTGTATCTTTAAGCGATTTACTCCTGTACAGTAGCAGGAACAGAAAATACCCCCAACCCTTCCCCCCATACGCAAAACCGTTTTACCAATGCCCCACCCACCCACCCGCCCGGCCCCCGCCAGGTCGCCGCAATCTCAACGACCTGAACCCCACTATGCAATATATCCCTGCTCGGTGATCGCCCTCCCGCAGTTGTGCCTTGGTTATGTCGTGCATGCCGTGCCCGCGGCCACTTACTGGGATGGTGAGCCGCCTCCTCTTGGCCAGGCCGCCACCACCAGTTCCTGGATCCGGTTCCAGCCCCGTCGCCTGGCTTCGTGTTGCCGCTTCCGCCCGTCAGTTTGAATGTGGCCAGCCTTGAGGGCAGCCCCACGTGGTGGAGCCCGTGGTCACGAGCCTCCCTGGAGCTCAATAAACAAACAAATTAAGAGCGCCATTGTTGATCCGAAACCCGTGGAGGAAGGAAAAAGAGGGAGAAGCCAGGGAGGGACAGCACGGGTAAGAGAAAGGGGAAAACAGCGAGGGTGCATAAAGCATGGGCGATATTGCAGTACGTCCCTGTGGGGGGGGTATCCAAATCGCTAGTGACGTGTGGAAGGGCAGCACGGTGGTGGGGGTGTAGCCGGAGTGGGAAGCCGGAAGCCGGCTCTGCACCAGTCGACGACAGTGAGAGATGGCGCAATCTCATCTCCAAGTGACCATCTCGCAAGGTGGTGCTTTACATACTTTCCCACCCACACCCCGTATCCGCTCGCCTCGACCGACTCGTTCTCCAAGCCAGACGACAGCGCACACAGCAGCAGCAGAACCTGTACCGCACACCTGTTGTTGACGTACACCCGGGCGGCCCAGGCGCACGAGGTGGGCGGATTCCACACGAGGCCCGCCATGGCTACCAGCTACCAGCAGGCATTACGAAGGACCAGAGGGAGGGGAAGGTAGTGGGAAGCCCCGGAGTCGTCGGCTGATGGGCCGGTGCGAACAAGTACCATCATTGAGTCGGGGTGAGAGGGTTGAAACCGAGGTGCTGCGTTACCTCCCCCAGAGGGTCACGACGCTAGAATGCCGTCTGGCACTCGTTACTACCTCATGCGCATCATCATCATCATCATCATCATCATCATCATCATCATCATCATCATGAACGTGTCTCCAACTGCTGAAACCCGGAATCCGCAATGCGGTTGCTCCTTCCTCAGCGCGTTCCCCTTTCCCATGCCTTTCTAAACCGCCTCGACTGGCCCACGTCAGCCTCACCTCGTCAAACGCTCCCGCGGGGCTGTCATCGTAGCGAGCCAGGTAAAAACCTCCAAGCGTGTGCCTGTGGGGCGCAGACACCGCAGCCGGTCAGGCCGAGCCACACGCAAAGAGACGCTGCATCGCGGTGCCCCACGGAGCCTCAAGCATTACCCGAAGAGCTCCACGAGCTTGAAGTTGTCGGGTATGTACTTGCGTGCCTGATGGGGTTTAGCAGACATGCGTGTTGGAAAGGTTGAAGGATAAGGCGCCCGCGGTGCTTTGGGCGACGGGGCCCGTTTTGTTATGGTCCGTGGGACCGACGGTATCATTATGTAAAGGTCGATAGCTGTGTACAGAGGAGCTATTGAATATTAGAGATTTTTTTCAATGCAACCCTATTAGGCGTCAGCGATAGGTGGGCATGTGACCTGACTTTTGTCTTGGGAAAGCTAAGGTAAGCGATTTCTTTTGCGTATTGAGGACAATCCTACCTCTTCACTTTTGACCAGCTGCAGCTGATATAACGCCCTGAAGTTGCATTATGCGAGGGACAATCGGTCGTTGTCCCTATTGAAAAGTGCCAGCGATAATGTATAACAATTTCGCTGAGGCTCCTGTGACTCACTTTCCCTTGAATACCCATGGCGCTTCCGCATAGACCATTTCGTCGCGGTGCTGCAAAAAACAACTACGCGACAGGTCGACAGCCCTAACCACGAAGCGCTTTGTGGCGCAACAAAAAATCTACTATATTGAGGTTCACCGATGTAACTCCACCCAGTTTTCCAAAGCGATGCCTTGGGAGATTATTTAGATCCCAACTTACAGTTAAACAACGAGCTAAGGCAACCCCTACAAGGCACAGTGAGCGCTGAATCAATGCAATTTATTACCCTAGGGGTGCAGCAGGGGTCCAATAATGGAATAGGTCCTCATGTTTTCCCGCAATGGAGCTGTACGATCGTACGAAGATCCAGTGGTTTCATGAGCCTCCATCGCCCTTGCCCAGCTTACGCCTAGTTACATTTCCTGCTTACATCTACGTCGCATGCTTCAGGTCATACTTCTTACCTATCGCTTTGCTTCTGACATCAGCCTGACACGCTCGACATATTACGTCAACCCATCGAATCAGCGTGACAAGGCGTTCTCTTGACTGAAACGCCGACCAAGCACATTGCGCGCCGCTGTATCACGCTCTACAGCAGGTCACCGCACGTCATCCCGTCATGTGCGTTAAAAATGTTGTAATGAACGAGTAGTGCAGAAATGCGAAATGCATTTGAAAGCCTTGCCGCTTGACGCGTCTTCTGGCCCGAAAGATGTGTGCTACAGTGCTACAGCCACCCCGATGCGGCGCCCGTTATTAATTTGTGTAATCGCCGTACATACCTGCGTACATAGGGCGCATCGTAAACTAGCAGGATACTGCACGCCGCGCAAGCAGGCCATGATTTTCCCCCCAAACGCATGAACTTGATCTGACTCATGCCTTATGAGAAGGAGATTCCAAAGATCTCTATAATTAATTTCCAGGGAAAGCGACAACGAATTCGCAACTTTCAAAGAAACGCTCAGTAATCAAAGGTGCCTCACGCTTGCCGAGCAGGACCTGTACCACGTATTACTAGGGAGCAAGCGAACCGCTTCGTCCTCCATCCGCAAATTCAAATTCCAATCCACAACAGCGGTATACAACAGTAGTGGCTATGCAGCCCTAAGTTTAAGCGCGCGATTCAAATGATGTGCAGCTCAGCTGGACTGGACCCTCAAATGTATACGGGCATGCCAAGCTCAACAAGCTGCTGCGAGGGCACTCGCCACCTCTCCATGTCCACGTAGGCAATCGCCGCCAACCACCTGTACAACAAGCCGTACAGGAACCAGTTGATGTACTGCACAATCCAGAAGCGACCCTGCCGCTCATCCACCCGAATAAGCGCTCGGCTGGCGTAATACACGACACCTGCAGAGCGGACAGAGGGACAGCAGATGAGCGATAGATAGATGAGAGTCCTATCGTGCCCTACGGCCTGTCGTGGTGGTTAGTTGGTTGGATTACGTTTGACAGCAGTTGGTTGACCGTTTGGACCGGACGGCAAGATGAAAAAAGCCGCGGAGCTCCGAAGACTGCATCAACACTCAACAACTGCATTGTCCACGGGATTCAGCAGGACCAGGAACAGAAAAGCACCGCAGCCCCAAGGAAAGACCGCGGCGGGGGGTAGCCTCACCATGCAGCCTCGCCTCCAGGAACGCCGCCACCGCCTCCTCCACCAGGGTTCGAGCCGCCTCCAGAGCGCTGTTGTGCGCCGCAACCGGCGCAGCATCTCCGGCTGCTGCGGGACCGGCAGGCGCAGCCGCCGCCGCATTACTACCCGCCAGGCGGCGGCTTGTCATCGCAAGCTCCGTCGGCCCAGACATAACCGCCGCCGCCGCCGCCGTAACGGCCTGCGGCATTGCCGCCACCGAGTCGCCGCCAGATCCCCTAGGGCCGTTACCCCTGTTCGCCCCCGAGCTGCGGCCCAGGTGTGTCATGACGACGGGGTTGTGCTGGCCCATGCGCGCCAGAGGTTTTTCCGTCTGATCGTCCGTCGCCCCCGCGGCCTCATCACGCTCCAGGAAGTTGCTCAGCTCGTTGCTTTGGGAGTTGCGCTTGAAGGCGGCCGGCAGCTGCCCCTTCGCGGCGCGGGCCGCCACAGCTACCAGCTGCCGCAGTACGGCATCAACGAGCTCACTGATGAAGGCGGGTCCGTGGTCGATGACGTCCAGATAGCCGTACCGGGCGACGACCTTGGTGACGGAAGTACGGCATGCGAGGGTTTGGGCGCACGGGGTGAGAAATATGAGGAATAGGAGATGGCGGAGGAAGGGGTATGGATAGGGCGCGTTCGGGTATTCTACGTGTGCGTGCTGTGTGGTATGTGGTGCGTGGTGCGGAGCAAGAGCGCGGGAAGACCCATCTCATTTCTGTTCGGAGGAGGACGAGGAAGAGGAGAGGTGTAGCCAATTTCTAGGAGGCATGGGAAGAAGAGGAGGCATGGGAAAAATCATTCCCGACCCGGCCCCACCCGACCCAACCCGTGTTTTCCCGTATGTCACGACTCCCCACAGCCTGGGTGGCCCCCTTTGCTGGCTCCACACGGCCCCCAGACCCACCAGGTAGAAGTTGGGGGCCGAGACGCAGAGCGGTGTGTAGACTTGCAGCCGATGGCGGCGTGACACGCTGGGTGTGGGCAGGTTCCGTACGGACAGGAAGACGCACGCGTCGTGTATGGCCTGTACGATAAGGGTGAAAGGGAGCAGGAACAGCCAGACTGGTGCGAGGAGAACGGGACACATGTCGCGAAAAGAGTGCGCGCTGCTGCGGGATACCGTGGACGCAGCAGCAGCAGCAGCATTACCACCAGCAGAACGGGAACGTGTCAGCGAGGGGCTGAGGGCTCGTCCTGGAGGGGGTTGTACCGAGGTGTCCTGTGGGGACATCCAGCACTTTATGCCGTACACCGTACACTGTACACTACGGTCACTTGACGAACTTTTGAGGTGAGGCATGTGCCAATGTCCCTCTCATCGCATGGGCCCGCTCACAGCTCCCCTCCCCTCCCCCCCTGCAGATTATGTCTACCCCCACGACTCCCCTTTTCCCCCCTGGAGCCCCCCGGAGGCGAACTTTAGGCCTCGGAGCAACCTGGGCCCTCCCTGGAGTTAAGCCACACCTCGTCCTCGCGGCCCATATCATTATCGGCCCTATCATAACTGCACTCGTACCTGCACATTCCGAAGGAAGTGCACCAGCACGGGGGGGAGGGTGGTGAGGGCCGAGTTGGCGCCGCCGACCTGGGAAATGGAGGCGGGGGCGGGGGAGGGGAGGGAGGGGAGAGTTAGGGTTTTAACCTGGGTCGCGGGCGCGTGGGCGAGGGGAGAGGGAGAGGGAGAGGGGAGTCAAACAGACAGACAGACAGACCCGCAGAAGGCCCCATTGGGACCCACTGACACCCCAACAAACCACAACTCTCACTAACGAGGACCTGACGTCCGCACACACGTACATCTATCATTACATACATCCACACTTCCCCCGAACCCCGACATCTATAATGCCCTTCAGAGGCAACCGGGATACCGAACGGTGCGCCTAGAAGCTACCAACAGCGAGGCGGAAGCCGAAGGCACAGCCGACTCACAAATTAATCCGGAAATATTCGCAAGAGGGCGGTGTGCCGTAACATACACCGAAATGTACAGCGTAATGTCCCAAGCGCACCACCCCGCACAGACCTTCTCATCCATGTAGTAGACGCCAATGCCCGGCAGTCGCGCAGCCAGCGGCACCACCACCGGCGCCAGGAGCGCTGACCTCGCGGTGCTGTCGCCCATCTCCAAGTCGCTGTCGCTAAAGCCGTCCAGCGGTACAGTGGTGGCGGCGGCTGCGGCGGGGGCGGCGGCCGTCTGGATCTCATCCACTGGCAGCACCAGCGCCAGCGTGCCCGGCGCAAAACTGCTCTCCGAAACCACCACGGTCTTTCGGTTTCCAACATCGGCGCTGTGATCGCTGTGACGGCTAGTGAGCGGTTCCGCCGCCGCCGCCGCCGCCGCTGCCAGTGACGCCGTCGGCCCCAGAGGCGGCATCGCGGCGCAGCTGCTGAGCTGGCCTTCCTCTATCTCTTCCAAAAGGGCCTTACTGATCTCTCCCAGAGGTGCGGACCGCGTGGCGGGGACGCTGCGAATGCGCAAGGGCCGTGAGGTCTTAGGTTCGAGCCGCGCCAGGCGCAGTGACGTCGCCCGCATGGCCCGCGGCGAGGACGGGTACGCCGTTGCCGTCCCGTCACCGGCAGCATCCGGCGCTTTAAGCCTCAATGTCTGTTGGGGAACAGCCCAACTGGCCAGGCGGTACAACCGCTGCCGGGGGTGGGCGGCAGAGGCGGAGTTGCCGCCGCCGCCGCCGACAGAGCGTGTGGCGAGGAGGGTGGCGGCAGTAGCCGCAGTGGCAGCCGCTGCTGGCGGCGGGGGCGGGGGCTGGTGCAGCAGTGACGGCGGCGGCGGGCAGCCCAGCAGCCTAATGTGTGCTCCCGCGGTAACGGCCGCCAGCCGCTCCCCCAGCCGGCGACTACCCGCCCACCAAATGAGCATGATGGCGGATACCACCGCAGCCACAGAGAGAGTGAACCAGCCGCCCTCAGGCACCTGCGGCGGTGAGAGAAACGAGGTGGACCGCAGGTCGCTGACCTGGAGGTGGATTGTACGAATGTACGGCACATTCGTGCATCCGACGTTCCTCCAATACCCTTCCATTCCGTGCTGAAACGAAAAACCCAAAAACAGGGCTGATAGCTGAAACAAAATACCCAAGGCTAAAAGTACGGCAGCTTCCGTTTTTAAATCTGCTTTTCAAGGGCGTAACGAGTCGCGGACTGGAAACGGAGAGATCTATCTGCTGGTTTCGGATTGGTTTCGGGGCGGACTCGCGGAGCTGTGCTGACCTGTCCTGGTCCGGGCTACCTAGCCTGCCCGTCGCGATACCCTATGAGTAATATTCCCAAGCCACGCGTTGACTAACGTTGTCGTACTGCCGTACCCACCTTGATGATATTCGCGGACCAGTATCCTCCCTCCAGCACCAGAAACAGTCCGAAGAAGGGAACCACCAGCAGCAAGCTGACCTCCCACACGGACAGCATCACCTGCAGGCGACCATGCGCGGGGGACATGTGGACCCCTTGTGGAACTGATGACCCCACCGGGGGAAGAGGGGGAAGAGGAAGACAACCCACGTGAACGAGTCCAGCTGATGCCTTCTAACCTAACCAGTCGGCCAAAGCGACTTGTCGCCAACCAAATGTCCCAACTAACGAGGGGGGCATCATCGAAAAGGGGATCGCGAGAGGAGCATCACGAGGGGGAGCTTTCGTGCGTATTCCTCCGCAATTCTCAAGCAGCATCGTCCTCTCTTCCATTTTAAATGAACAAGAATCTCATTGTTATGAGCATTATGGAACAATCCCGCGGATTCCGTTCTAAAACCCAGTATTTCCCCCCCACCCAGACTACCTCCAATCTGGGCCGGTCGGTCTGTCAGTCTGTCAGTCGGTCGGTCTGTCGTATCAGACTGAATCAAGTCGTGTTTTTCCATCCCTTCGCGATCCAAAGGTACTCCTTCCCCCTCCTCCCCGGCCCCCAACCCCTCCCGCGCCAAGGAGCCAAGGCCAGGTCCGCCGTTTTCGTTTCTTTCACTCCCCACATAGGGCCCTCGTAGCCCCCACCGGCCCCCCAGATGGCCCCCCGGGAGGTCTCCACCACCGCACCAGTGTGACCAGGAATGTGGTGGTCAGCATGTCCGTCATCACCGCCAGCCCGTACGCCTTGCCCAGCGCCACCGTGTTCTTGAACCCAACCACCACGATGCAGCACAGCGCGAACAGCACCACATTGACCAGCGGGATGTATACCTGTATGTATGTATGTATGTGTAAGGGGGGGGGCCGCTTGGAGGGACGGAGAGAAGGGGGTGGGTCGGCACGGAGGGAGAGAGAGAGCAAGGCCCGGCAGGCGGAGGCAATCAGGAAGGCCACCTCTGCGAGAAGATAGGAAGCATCATCATTACGAGGAGAGAGGATTGGAGGAGCGGGAAATGGGAGTGGTCATGGTCTCGGGCTCTCAACCGGCCGATCGCAAAGGGAGCTCAACCTTGCCATCTCTACAGCATCTCCATGTACATACATGCGTACATATATACATGGGGACGGCATGCGAGCGTTGAGAGCTAGGATGCGTCTAGGAAGCGCACGGTGGCTCCTTGGAGTCCTATAAGTGGTGGAAGACGCGGGTGAGTGCCCGTGACTTGCTCGCCAGGTCTTCGCCCTGCCCCAGTCCCCGGGTACCTGGGTGGCTCGTGCAAGGCTCCTGCCACCCGTGTGGGCGATGCGGGCGGGGGGGAAGGCCCCCAGGATCATGGCCTGTGTGTGTTCGTGAAAGACATGTAAGGGGGCGAGAGGGAGGAAGGGAGGGGAGGAGAAAAAGGGCAGGAGGGATTACCGTCGCAATACGCAATCCTGCGCTTACGCAGGTAATGAGCTGCCGTACGATACGTACCTGTCGTATGATGCTGAACAGGCCGCTGATGAGCGCCTGCGAGGCGACGATGGTGGCGAGGGTTGCCAGGATGAGCATGGGGTACCTCAGCTGCGACAGGAGGGGGGTGGAGGAAGGGGAGGGGAGGGGAGGGGAAAGACGAACCACAAACGGGTGAAGCTGCTAACAGGGCAAGAGTGCACCAGACGTAGAACTGACCAAAAGCGGGGAGGGGAGGGAACAACGAACCACACACGAGTGAAGCACACACGGGAGGGGAGGGAGGGAAGAGCGCGGGGGGAGAAGGGCTGATGAAGAGAGCAGGGAAGGGTCGGTGCTCTCTCATTACGATACTGCTGATGAACCTGCAGGGCTGCTGCTGCTAGGCGCTAGGCGCTAACACCACAACCCTCGGCGGGCCCCCGGCCCTTACGGGGAGAAGGGACAAGGAAGGGAGCTCTGTGAGCCCCATAGAGGGCACTGCCCAGCTTGACCGACCCGCGGCCCTGGCCCGAGCTGAGCTCTCCATCCCCCCTGTCCTGTCGTTAGCCTGATATGAACCCTCCTGGCTACGACCCCCCCCTGCCCTCCCCATCCCTCCCCCCTTCCCCCCCAGACACCCACCGTCCGGGGCAGCGATTTCCAAAACACGTCTGTGTCTTGGGGGTGTGTGAGCAAGTGCGCCGCCTGGTGTGCGGGGAGGAGGGGGGGTAGTGAGCGGGGGAGGAGGGGGACGTGGCAAAGAAGAGGGAAATAAGGAAGGGGCCTCCATCTTCTGGAGTAGTAGAGTGATGAAACCGTTCACCGGTGTCCCCCTCCCCCGGCTCCTCCCCCTCCCCCCCTCCTTCCCTCCCATCTCACCTGCCCGAAGTAGGTGACGATGAGGCAGGGGTAGGCCAGAAACACAAAGGCGACCTGCGGAACAGCACCACCAGCACCACCAGCACCACCACCACCACAAGCAGTGCGGAAACGGCCGCACACGGCCGCAATCACGATGACGTCACATGCCGCGTGAGATAATACCTTGATGAGGGACGCGTCATTCGGGGGCGCTCCATCGGGGCCTCACCCCCACTGACTTGGGTCTTAAAACCCCGTTTCCCTCCACACCACCACCATCTTCCCCCCTCTCCTTTAATTTCTTTTCCCCTCCCTGGCCTCCGCTCTCCCTCACCGATATGCTCCCCCTCGAGAAGTGCCCCAGGTCCGCGAACAGCGCCTCTGCACCGGTGACACACAGCATGACGGCGCCCAGAGACCGCCAGGCGGTGGCGCCGTGGCGGCTGAAGAACGTGACGATGTGGGCGGGGTTGATGGCTGGGAGGCGGGCGGTCCGGCGTGGAGTAGCGTGAAGGAAGAGGGTGGCGGGAGGAGGGGGGTAGCAGGGAACGGGCAACCGGAGGATAAAGATGATGATTAACATGATTATGGTGATGATGATGATATTATGGTGACGAGGGGGCCCTGGAGAGGTGCGGGGACCTGTGCCGATATAACCGGCGGATGATAAGGCCCCTCGCGACCTCCGGGATATCATTTCGCGATTACTTACTTACCATCGGGTGGTCGAGGATGAGCGGTCAAAACTAGGATCAGGTTCCGTACCGTATCGTACCGTACCGTGCCGTACTAGGGAGCCCCTCCTGGTCTCGCCTAGGAGCGGCCATAAAATCATTGTGGTTCTTACCAGAATGGTCAAAATTACGGCACGCCAAGTACGGCACTTAAGGTTAGCCCATCGTCTACCTGCGAACACCGCTCCCCCATGCTCGGCGAGTATGTAGCAGTTGATGGCGGCGTTGGCCAGCAGCCAGATTGCGATGACGGGCGCGAAGAACACACCCACCTGGGCGGGAAGACGTGCACGTGGTGGTGGTCCGCGGATTACGGCAGGTCGCGAGCGAGCGGGAGGCCGCTACTCTATGCATGCACACCTACACACACACCTACACACACATCCCACGCACACGCATATTTCTTCCCCCCTCTTCCACGCGCCAACCCTAAGCAGATGCTCCCCCGCCCCCGCCCCTTCACCCCCGTAAAGGGCACCTCTTGCCTCTGGCCCCCCTCCCTCCTGCCAGCCGCACTACCCCGCGAGCCCCCTTGAGCGCCCTCCGTACACCCTCCGTACACCCTCCGTACACCCTCCGTACACCCTCCGTACACCCCCCCCTACCTGCCCGGTGCCCATGGGCTGTATTGCGAAGACCAGCACCAGCACCAGTATGGTTACACCGACCACCACCTCCTGGCTCAGGCCGGGGACCACCTCCGTGAGACCGGACACAGCGGACAGCACTGCGAACAAGGGAAGGGGGGGGGAGGGGGGGGAGGGGTGTGTGTGTGTGTCGGGGGGGGTAGCAATATCGGGGTAGAAAAACAACCGCCGACGTCCAAAAAGGGCTGGAAGGGGAGGAGGCGGAGGAGGTGAGGTGTGGTTTGCATGGTGGTTGGTTGGTGAGATATGGGGGAGGTTTGTGTGATTTGTACGGTTGGTCGTTTATGTACCTGACATGGCCGGGGTGAGGACTCCGTCGCCCATCAGCATGGCCGTTGCGACCACCGCCACGGCCCATAAGCCGATCTGCAGGTAGGTCGGGTGGGCGGGTGGGGGCCAGGGCAGGAACCGCGAGAGGCGATGGCTGGAGGGGACGCAACCACGGCCTGTCCGGACTTGAGGCCTTCTTGTGCAACATGTACCCTTGTCATTTGTGTGTTTGGGGCGTGTGTGTTTCGGAGGGGTTGCATGTGTGTGCACACCTGATGGAAGGGGGTCAGGGGAAACGAGGGTTTCACCGGGGGTGGGCGCTGGCGTAACTCCGTAAAACACGAACCCAAGGCGGGCGCACTGCTGTACGGCAGTGGCCATTCGGTATGGAGGATGTTCCCCCTTCCCTCCCCAGTCCGCAGTACCCAGTCCCCCCACTGGCGCTGTGCCCACCTGCGCCCGCCGGCTGCGACGAAAGAAGTCCGCGACCCGGTCCTTCCCGGCGGCCCCCCACCGCCACCAGGGCCTCTGGCAGCCCCCCCCCCCGCGCCGCCCCACTGCCGCCACGTCCCCCTGCGTGTCACTATCACTGTCAGAGCCGCACTCGTCACCGCCATCACTGGGCAGTACGGCACCTCCACCGCCAGTGTCGACAGCGGTAGCGGGCGATGCGCGGCTCATGGCAGCGGTGGCGGTGGTGGCGGAGGGCGCCGCAGCCGCCGCCGGCGCCCTGACCCGCTTCCGGCCGGCGGCCACTGCCGGTCCCCTCGCGCCGTG